CTAAAATCCCCAGACCTAAAAAAACTACATAACAAGGAACACTCTAGGGGAGATGCTTAAATCTCATTCAGAGGGGCAAACAGAAAAACCACTACATGTGGTTGGAGAGAGGGAATAGGACAGCAGACTAACAGATGTCCTCTGAAAGACTCTATCCACCAGAAGATTGAAGAAGATGCTGAGAGTCAGTCAAACTCTGGACAGAGAACAGGTAGCCTTATGAAAGAGGAGGAGGACAGAGGACTCTGAGAAAACAGGAGCACCACAAGAGTCAACAAATTTGGTCCCAGTGTGTTCCTACCAAGACTGATGCACCAACCAAGGACTATGCATGGAGAGGACCTAGACCCCCTGTTCAGATAGGCAGCTCAGGCTCCATGTGGATGCCCTAGTAAGTACAGCAGGCACTGTCTCTGAGATTGACTCTGTTCCCTGCTCCTTGATCCCTTCCTTCCACCTGGCAGTGCAGCCTTGCCAGAAGAAGAGGATGTAGGCAGTCCTGAGGAGACTTGAAAGGCTGGCATCAGTTTGTGAAGGAGGAGGTCTGGTAGGGAGATGGAGGGAAGAAAGAGGAAGGGAAGGACCAGGATGAGAAGAAAGAGGGGACTACAAGAGGGATGTAAAGTGAATAAATTATAAAGTAAATTTAAATAAAAATAGAAAATTCAGTAAGAAAAAAGTTTTCAGTAGAAAAGAAGGCAAAATAAAAGATGGTGAAATGTAGAGGAAATGACCGAAGCTCAATTTGTAAATGTATAAAATGTCAACAAACAAATTGAACTGAAAACAACTTAACTTAAAATTTAAAACTATTGTTCCATAGTTGTATTATAATATAATACAAACTTACTACTACCATAAAACAGCATTGAGAAAATGTATAGAAACACCCATAATTTATTTTGTACTATATCTAATGTCACCTGTTATTATTCTTTGTTTGATATTAGTTACATTTTATTAACTTTGTATCCCAGCCGTAGCCCACTCCCTCTTTCCCTCCCAATCCTACCCTCCCTCCCTGCCCCTTACCAAGTCCACTGATAGGGGAGGATCTCCTCCCCTTTCATCTGAGCCTTGTTTATCAGGTATCTTAAGGACTGGCTGCAAAGTCCTCCTCTGTGGCCTAGCAAGGCTGCTCCTCCCTTGGAGGGGAGGGGGGGTGTCAAAGAGCCCACCACTGAGTTCATGTCAGAAATAGTCCCTGTTCCCCTTACTAGGGTACCCACTTGGATATTGAGCTACCATGGGCTACATCCAAGCAGAGGTTCTAGGTTATATCCGTACATGGTCCTTGGTTGGAGAAACTGCCTCATAAAAGACCCCTTTGCCAAGATATATTTGGTCTTGTGGAGCTCCTGTCTTCTCCAGGCCATACTAACTCCCCCTTCTTTTATATGATTCCCTGCACTCTGCCGAAAGTTTGGTTATGAGTATGTATGGCTAGTTAGAGTCTTTCATAGGCCCTTTGTGGTAGGCTTATAATAGTCTAGCAAACACCATTAAAAAGTACATAATGTATCCAAATAGGCAATGTTTCTAGACTTCACAACAGGTAAACATCTTTTTTAATATAATATTTTGTTTAGCCTATAAAATTTTTACACTTACACAGTAGGTTTAGATATTATCTGTTTCTACTACCTCCTTTGTACCTGTAAAGACCTTATCAAACTTTTTCCATCAAAAATTTTTATCTTTAAAAATTTTATTATTGCTTCCAGTGTCTATTCTGTTTTCTCCTCTGAATGAGAAATAAGCATCTTCCATATGGTCTTTCTTGTCTTTCAGCTTCCTTAGGTTTGTAGATTTTAATATATCCTTTATAATATATCTAATATGCACTTAAAAATTTATACCATGCTTGTCATAAGTATATTCCACTTGTGAGTATATACAATGCGTGCCTCTTTACTTCTGAGATACCTCACTCAAGGTGATCTTTTCTAGTTCCATCCATTCATTTGCCTGCAAATTTCTTGATTTTTTTTGTTTGTTTTTACAGCTGAGTAGTACTCCATTGTGTAAATGTACCACAACTTCTGTATCCACTCCTTGTTTGAAGAATATCTAGATTGTTTTCAGATTCTGACTGTTACAAATAAAGCTGCTTTGAACATAGTTGAGCAAATGACCTGGTTGTGTGGTTGAGCATCTTTTGGATATATGCGCAGAAGTGGTATAACTGGGTCTTGAGTTAGCAATATTCTCAGTTTTCTGAGAAAGAGCCAGATTGATTTCCAAAGTGGTTGTACAAGTTTATATTCCCACCAGCAATGGAGGAGGGTTCCCCTTTCTCCACATCCTCTCCAGCATATGTTGACACTTGAGTTTTGATCGTAGCCATTCTGACAGGTGTGAGTTAGAATCCCAGAAGAAAGCAAACAAGCCTGAAGCCTAACAAAGATGTCCTCAAAAATACTCTAACCAGCAGGGGATCGAAGCAGATGCAAAGACTCACAGCCAAATATTGGACAGAGTGCAGGGAGTCTTATGGAAGAAGGGGAATATAACAGGACACTAAGAGGACAGAAGCCACACAAGGAGACCAACAAAGCAAAAAAAAAAAAAAAAAGCATGGCCCAGGGGGAACGACAGAGACTGCTGTATCAACCAAAGACCATACATAGAGAGGACCTACCCCCTGTTCAGGTGTACTCCATAGGCAGCTCAGTTTCCATTTGCGTTCCCTCATAAAGGGAAAGAGACAGTCTCTGACATGAACTCCTTTGCCTGCTCATTAATCACTTCTCTCTGTTGGGGGGACCTAATTAGCCAACAGAGGAAGAAGATCCAGGCAGTCCTGATGGGACCTGATAGGCTAGGGTCAGACAGCAGGAGAGGAAGACTTCCCCAATCAGTAGGAAGACAGATAGTTGAGGAAGAGGGAGGGAAGGAGGATAGGGCCAGGAAGGAATGAGGGAGGGGACAATAACTGGGATACAAAGTGAATAAATTGTAAATAAAAATAACAACTAAAAAAAAAAAAACTGTCCTGTTCCCTGTTTTCTCACTCTTCCCATGTCTGTTCCTTTGTCTTTCTGAGTGAAGATTAATCATCTTACTCAGGGTCCTCCTTCTTGCTTAGCTTCTTCTTTTTTTTTTTTTTTTAAGTGAACTGTGCCAAGTTTATTATTCTCATTTTGCTTATGCTTAACACAAACACATACTTACATATGCATACACATACAGAAACCACAGATATGTACAAATACTATATTTTAAATTCTCTATTAATTATTACGACAAAATACTTGTATTCGTTTCTTCTGTGTTTCTCATGAGAATGCAAAGTTAGAATTTGGGAGTTTCTGTGATTCTGGTTCTATGTGCTTAGAGCAGCAACCAGTGAGTTGGATAAAATGAGGGAAGAATTTTATATAAAGTAGAAGTTAGTTATAGTTTCAACATGAGAGAACATGAGTTGTTTAGATGACTGGAAAAGTTTAGCTCTAGAAAAAGAGGCAAGGTCTTAGCCTCCAGTCCGGGTGCGACCATGGCACTCTTGTCTCTAGTTTAAAGATGCTTTCAAGTCTATTTTGTTCTCTTTTCTGAGTTAAGACCTCTGTGGCCTCTTAAGGCCATATTTATGTTCAGTCAGTTCAGTTTAATTTATTTCAGAGCTATGACAGTTGGAATGGTGGCACAGGTTTCATTTCTCCCCCCCCCATAGTTCTCTCCCCCCTCTCTTCCCATTCCCTCCCTTCCTCCACCTTCTGCATGCATGCCCCTCCCCAAGTCCACTGATAGGGGACTTCTTTTCCTTCCTTGTGATCTTAGTCAATTAGGTCTCATCGGGAGTGGTTGCCTTGTCTTCTTCTGTGGCCTGGTAATGCTGCTTCCCTGTCAGGGGGAGGTAACTAAAGAGCAGGCCAATCATTTCATGTCAGAGACAGTCCCTGTTCTTATCACAATAGAACCCACTTGGATATTGAACTGCCATGGGCTACATCTGTGCAGGGGTCTTAAGTTATCTCCATGCATAGTCCTTGGTTGGAATATCAGTCTCAGGAAAGACCCCTGCACTCAGATTTTTTGGTTCTGTTCTTGCTTAGCTTCTTTAGGTGTACAAATCCTAGTATTTTTATCCTATATTATATCCACTTATAAGTGAGTATATTTGTGTGTCTCTGCTTTGGAAAGACTCTACCCAGCAAGGTATCAAAGCAGATGCTGAGACTCATAGCCACACTTTAGGCAGAGTGCAAGGACTCTTATGAAAGAAAGACCTGGAGAGGACAGGAGCTCCACAAGGAGAGCAACAGTCAAGAAATCTGGGCCCAGGGGTCTTTTCTGATACTGATACTTCAACCAAGGACCATGTATGGAGATAACCTAGAACCCCTGCACAGATGTAGCCCATGGCAGCTCAGTATCCAAGTGGGCTTCCTAGTAAGGGGAACAGGGACTGTCTCTTACAAGAACTCAGTGGTAGGTTCTTTGATCATCTCCACCTGAGGGAGGAGAAGCCTTACCAGGCCACAGAGGAAGACAATGCAGCCAGCCGTAATGAGACCATATAGGCTTGGGTCAGATGGAAGGGGAGGAGGACCTTCCCTATCAATGGACTTGGAGAAGATCATGGGAGGGAATGAGAGAGAGAGGGTGGTATTGGGAGGGGCTGAGGGAGGGGCCACAGTTGGAATTCAAAGTGAATAAACTGTAGTTAATATAAAAATAAAAAATTAATAGAAAAAGAAAAAAATAGCTCATTGAGCTAAATTAGTATTAACATAAACATTAACATAGGATAAACAGACATGGGCTTATCCACCATGGAATGAGAAACCTACCGATGGCCAAATTTCAATAGAGAAGTTGATTTAACGTCCATCAACTGCCAAATCTCTCAGCAAGTTATAAGTTAAAAAAAATCATGTGTATAAACACAAATTTTAAGGCAGCTTAAAATCATTTACCATTTAATGTAACCAGTATACTGCCCCCACGACCTGTGATCTTACCATTCTCCAGCTTTTGAAAGCTTTACTGTACTAATCATGACGGCAAACCTGGATTCCCATCGGGTTGGATATTCTTGGTTCCACTCGCCCACTCGCTGCTCCTGCTGCACAGTGAGCTCAGCTCTCCTGCAGTCAGTGCTGGGGTAACGGAGGTGTGGCGTGACACCACCACCAGCACCTCCTCCCCTGGGAGCCAGGAGGAACCTCCCATCATTAGGAAATTATTTGAGGACAAATGTGCTTGTACATTGCAAAAACAAAACAAAGCAAAATCACAACAAAACAAATTAAAAAACAAAACAAACCCCATTTTTGTTAGCTATTTGAATGAATCATTTCATGCTTCATTCAATATAAATATGCAATATAAATGTAATATAATATAATATAATGTAATATATATAATATATTATAATTATATATAATATATATAATATATTATATAATATAATATAATATAATATAATATAATGCAATATAAACTTCATGCAATATAAATGTACTATATTGTGTCCTTGTCTGAATTTTCTTAAAATTACATTACGAGCAATAACTTTTGCAGCATTCTCAAAATATGATTCCACATTGACTTAAAAATTAATTTTATATAGATTTGATCAACAAAGATATGTTTTTCTCAGTGTGCCCTACCGAATACATTGTAAAGCCCATGATAAATCTTCATAAGTGTTAATGATAGAGTAATAACTGAATAAATACATGAGTACTTATGTGTCTTCCAGCTATATTCAACTTATTTTCCTGAATTTCTCCACCAGATAGCAATGGTTGTCAACTTTTAAGTTTCTAATCATTGTTTTATACTTTTGCATTAATCAATACCTAATGATACTGTTCCTTTAAGTAGAAAAATAAGATACATTGAATGAAGATATTTCTCTATTAATTCCTTATCAATAGTTTATTAAAAAACAGGCTCTAAAAATTTTTGAAAACATATTTTCTCAATGAAAAAGTATGATAAATTTAGATTAAAACACTCTTAAAGGTTTCCAAAGGTAGTAATGAAGATGTTGGCTTACATTTGCAAATAGTTTCAATATGGTGTACTTCCTTCTTAAAAACTGCATGGTTGTCGGTAAAAAGAAAATTATTAGGGTACAGTAATTTTGCTCTACACTAATTTTTGACTTGATGATTTAAATTTTTCTTTTAATTGGTATAAGATATAGTAATAATAAATTTCCATTTCATGAAAACAACAACCAAAATTGGTTTTGGTAAATTATCTTTTTCTGAAAAATTGGTGAATTTCATTCTATTCCAGTAAAATAGAAAATTAAATTCAACATTCAATAAAAATTTATAGTGTAATCATTTATGTAGGAACTTTGAAGATATTGGTGAACAAATTAACTGAAGTCATATTTGAATCATTTTATTTTCCAAGGAGAAACAAATTAGTACAATAAAAAATTTTAAACCCATGCTTCAACTATGCTTAGTGACATAAGCCCTCAGTGACATAAACCCTTCAGCTCATTGATGTTCACTGGATTCTAAAAACAAAGAGGCATAAGATTAGCTAGATGGCTCAGTAGAGTACCAACAAAACAAAACAAAGCAAAACAAACAAAAGCAGGTACTAAACCTTTTACTTATTAGGGGTTTTAATTTTGTAAAATTTTCTTTCATCTGTAATGAGCCTTAATGACCTGAGAACAGAATATTCATTTACCCAGACAAAGTGAGCATTCTCTGGAAAGAGAACATCATGCCTCTCAAAAAGAGTAAATTCCTGTGTAATAATGATGATTTCTGCAATGTATTACATGCTATGGTAAGAGAAGCCTAATGAAGGCATTCTTTGGTTGTGGAATAACACGAGATATCTATTATATACATGTTTACATTTATCTTATATGCCATATTTATGCACTGTCCCCAATGATGATCTAATTTTCTTCCATAATTACATCAGTTTTAAGTGATTAATTTTAATTGTTTATTTTATGATCTCAAGAGAATATAGCACTAAACAGTCTCTAATGTTCCTGTCTCCGAGATTGTAACAATAAATACCCGACTCTCCACAAAGGAAGGGGCCCTGCCTTTGTCCTTAGCAAATTAGTTTCAAAATTGTAGAAGTTAATATTCATGGAACACAGCACTCATGTGTGAGCAAGCCCTGTCGCAGGGTGCACTCTTTCTGTCAAGCTCTGCTTTAGGGGTTCCAGCTCAGGTAAGAACTCGAGTGAAAGCTGAGGCTTCAGGTGTGAAAGAGGACAGCTCTGAGAACTGAATGTTCTAATTTTCATAAGATTTTGAAGGGTAATTAAAGGAAGAATGTTGCAATATTTGTGTACAGTAAAATAAATATTGTCAACTAATAAAAACAACCTCGAGGGTTGTATTATTAAAATTACAAAGCATAATATTAATAAACAATGAAGGGTTTATCTTTTTTTAAAGAAGAAATCCTCACTAGGTTATTTTTTTAATTTTTAATTTTTTATTAATTACACTTTTTATTCATTTTGTATCCCCCATTAGCCCCTCCCTCCTTCCTTCCCGATCCCACCCTCCCTCCCCTTTCTGCATGCATGCCCTTCCCTACATCCACTGATAGGGGAGGTCCTCCTCTACTTCTTTCTGATCTTAGTCTATCAGTTCTCATTAGAAGTGGCTGCATTGTCATCTTCTGTGGCCTGGTAAGGCTGCTCCCCCCTCAGGGGGAGGTGATCAAAGGGCAGGCCAATCAGATAATGTCAGAGGCAGTCCCTCTTCCCCCTACTATGTAACCCACTTGGACACTGAACTGCCATGGGCTACATCTATGCAGGGGTTCTAGGTTACCTCCATGAATGGTCCTTAGTTGGAGTATGAGTCTCTGGGAAGTTCCCTGTGTTCAAATTTTCTTGTTCTGTTGCTCTCCTTGTGGAGTTCCTGTCCTCTCCAGCTCTTACTATTTCCCACTTCTTACATAAAATTCCATTCACTCTGCCCGCCAGTTGGCCATCAGGCTCAGCATCTGCTTTGATAGTCTGCAGGGCAGAGGCTTTCAGAGGCCCCCTGTGGAAGGTTCCTAGATTGTTTCCTGTTTTCTTCTTTTGGCTTTCAGAGGCCCTCTGTAGCAGGTTCCTAGGTTGCTTCCTGTTTTCTTCTTCTTCTGATGTCCATCCTCTTTGCCTTTCAGATGGGGATTGAACATTTTAGTTAGGGTCCTCTCTTTTGCTGAGTTTGTTTAGATGTACAGATTTTAGTGGGTTTATCCTATGTTGTATGTTTATATGAGTGAATATATACTGTGTGTGTCTTTTTGCTTCTGGGACAACTCACTCAGGATGATCCTTTCCAAGTCCCACCATTTACCTGCAAATTTCATGATTTCCTTATTTTTCATTGCTGAGTAATACTCCATTGTATAGATGTACCACAATTTCTGCATCCATTCTTCAGTTGAGGGGTATCTGGACTGTTTCCAGATTCTGGCTATTACAAATAAAGCTGCTACAAACATGGTTGAGCAAATGTCCTTTTTGTGTACTTGAGCCTCTTTTGGATATATGCCTAGGAGTGGTATGGCAGGATCTTGAGGAAGCGCTATTCCTAGTTGTCTGAGAAAGCGCCAGATTGATTTTCAGAGTGGTTGTACAAGTTTACATTCCCACCAGCAATGGAGAAGGGTTCCCCTTTCTCCACAACCTCTCCAGCATGTGTTGTCACTTGAGGTTTTGATCTTGGCCATTCTGATGGGTGTAAGGTGAAATCTCAGGGTTGTTTTGATTTGCATTTTCCTAATGGCTAATGAGGTTGAGCATTTCTTTAAGTGCTTCTCTGCCATTCGATATTCCTCTACAGAGAGTTCTCTGTTTAGCTCTGTTCCCCATTTTAAAACAAAATGAAACGCTTCATGAATTTGCGTGTCATACTTGCACAGGGGCCATGCTAATCTTCTCTGTATACTTCCAATTTTAGTATATGTGCTGCCGAAGCAAGCACCTCACTAAATTATTAATAAAATTAGATAACAATAGAGGTACAAGAGCCATTACATAAACAGAAAATATAAGTTCCTTTGAAAATTAAGTAGGATATTAAGTACACATGATAAATCATTAATTCTTTAAGAATTTTATACATTATGTTTTGATCACATTTGTTACCTTTCAGGTCTCTCAAGTCTACTCCCAATCTCTTTCCACTTAAATTTCTGTCTACTCTGAATCTATTTGTATATAGGAACATGTCCTTTGCTTCTTCTTCTTCTTCTTCTTCTTCTTCTTCTTCTTCTTCTTCTTCT